TCGAGAGAGAGAGCTCACAAAATGATTCTAAACATACGACCTGTTAGTTGTCGTCGTCTTCGTTTCTGTAGGTAGAGGACACCTTGTAGATAGAGTTCATATTACTTTCGTACGGGAGATCAATTCGTGCACAAAATATAAAAGTATCACTTCTACGTGTAGACTCGGGACTTAGTCTATGGGACTCCGTTTAGGGCGTTGGCCATCAGGAGGAAAACGGCGTGGAGTTTAGATGCTTCGGATCTGTCGAAGAACTCCTCGAATTTAGACTAAATTCCCCTTATATCTCCTGAATTTCGACCAATCATCGTCCAGTAACTCTTTCGTGAGAACGGACGAAAGGGGGATGAATGAGGGGTAACCATTTCCCATCTGAGCGAGATTTTTAACCAGATACGGAAAAACAGAGGATGTTCTCTTCTGTGAAAGGAAATAACATCTGTTATCTGGTTTTTCCACGTCTAAAACACCAGTTTTTTTCACAAAAACGAAGTAATATTTTGTGTCGATATTTAAACATTATTAATAAAAATTCACAAATTAGACCCAGGGCCTTTCGGGTCTCACAATATTTCATGACGTTCCCTGCTATCAAAATCGAAGTACACTATAGTTCGACTCAAACTTCGTTATCTTTCTTATATTATCGAAAAAATTTTTTTAACGAAATTTAAGTCAGAACTTTCTGCTGCCATTTTGAATGAACTTGACCCGGTACAATTTAATAAACTCCTGTAAATGTTAACGGGGACAATGGAGCGGATCTGTTTTTGTTAAAGATGGGTATTTGTTCTTAACGTAAAATTTTTTGAGATATGTCCGGCTGCACCGTTTATCTAAAGGTCTAACAAGTAATTTAAGAATGGGCCGAGCTTGGTTTGTGCCAAATGATGGTGGGAACGCGATTGTTTCTTCGGGCGGTGGGTTTTATGATATTTGTTTTTAAAGACACCGTCGGCGATTTTACAAAAATATAAAACCACATTCACGATCAAAATGAAAGTAACACGCGCAAACGCAAGGCCCTACAAATGTTTCTCTTCGAATTACCTTGCGAGATGGTTTATAAGAACAGTTGGGTTAATTTATGACTCATTCGTGCTTATTATAGTACGCGTCTATAATAAAATACATAAAAATTTCGCATCAATTTTAATAAAGCGTGTTATTTTTCAGCTTGTACGGTTTCTCATATAAATACTTTAGGTTATTCGAATTTCTCTTTAAAATGTTTCCGAAATGACGTCCAGAAAATCTTGCTTTTCCGTCAAAAACTGGTGGCGTAAATCTGGTCGACTGTATCTCTTTTTCTCCCTCTATATTATTTACTATTTACTGCTTAAATGGATTACATACTATTATATTTGATGTCGAGAATTACGTACTAGTCTACTGAAAAATAGCGTAGGTTTACTTTTAAATGATTCGGTTATTTGAATGAAGGTTAAATTTAGAATGTGTTTTAATTTTCGGAAATATTAAAAATGTATTTGACCTTGTCGCATTAAATATTTCAATGTAATTTAGAACTTATATTATTTATTATTAATTTGTGTCGGGTATATTAATTTGATTTATTAATCTATTTAGCCGTGTGTAAGCCGCCTTGTGAAAATAACGGCGAATGTATCGAGCAGAAATGTATTTGTCCAGCCGAATATAGAGGAAATGCTTGCGAATACCGTAAGAGTTTTTTTTAAAGCCGAACCGGTATTTAAGCAAATATTTATATATATTCATATTAATTTAATTTTTTAATAATAAATTCAGCGATATCACTTTGCGAACCGAGCTTCCAAAACACTACGGGAATTATTCAATGTAACCATGACAGAAACGTCTCTCGTTGTACATTTGTTTGTCCCCAGCAAACAGAACCGTGGGATCTTCCAGAAAAACAATACACTTGTGATCTACGTGGAAAGTGGTCTAATTCCTTTCCCGATTGCATTCCTTGTAAGTATCGCCTGTATTTTAACACAATAATTATAATTATATAAAGTAAATTTTTATTACATTTTTTATATCGCTATTAAATTTATTAATTATAATTAAAAAAACTAGAAATTTAAGTCTTTGTTTTAAATTGTAACTTCGAGTATTCATTTTTCTTCTTGAGATTAAAAACGTGTAACGCACAATTTAACACATTCAGCAGTAACGTTACGCATTACGCAACAAGAACGCTTTGCATACAAGTAGGATTTATTACTCAATTTTAAGAAATAATACATTTGTTACAATTATTGATTGAAAATATATTCTGGAGTTAAAATTCCACGAGATTCGTACAGAATATTTGCCAGAGATTGTTACAGATAACTTAAAATATATAATAAAATTGCGCAATTTATTCTTATTCGACACGAAATACGCTTTCTAAACGTTAGTTGAAAGTAAATTAATATTTTCTTATTTTTAGAAAATTTATAAAATAATTAGGGGACAATACGTACAAAATGTGTCTTTTTTCCTTTGTATTTTTTAAATTTACCGAGTTAGTCAGAAAAACACTGGAATGCAAGAAAAAATATTTGATGCACATAATAGTCCACAAATCATTTTTTTTTTTTGTCTGTATTAAATATTGTTCGTATGTATATCGAATTTATAGTTTGAAATTATGTAAAAGACGAGCGAAAAATAAATTTCCTGAAAACATTTATATGAAAACTAATGCTCATTCTATTTCGTTAATCCGATCGAATCTCGAAAACTTTATTAGTAATGTTCATTATAACGACGGAGAGGATTTTAGGATGCTGGAAAAAGCGAAAATGGCGCAAAGATGCGGTCCTAGAAATTACGTTAGGCATCTATCTTGACTAAAAATCTTTTATTTAAATTGAAGGTATAGTATATTTTTCGCGGGTCGTTTATTTTTATGCTACACTTAGGTATGTCATTGTGGCTGGAATCACACTCGTTTGTCAAAAGGAACGAATCAACTGGGATAACGTTAACCATTTTCAAAGTTTCAAACGTAAACCCTCTTCGTTTACATAGAAAGATTTCTTTCTACGCAAAGAGATCGTTGGACATCCGCAGATGTTAGCAACGGGTACTTGGTCTTGACTGGAAATTATAAATCCTGGCGTTTCACGAACTTCTTTAAGTCCGGATTCTTAGTAACACTTCTTTCCAGTTATTGCTGGGGAAATCCATCTAAAAAATCTGTTATCGAGGAAACCAGTTCCCACTGCTCTTATTCCCGAACATGCTTCCTTTCTGATTTGAAACCTGATTTTAGTTTTTTATAAAAGTTTCATAATTATTTTTATTTAATGTGTTAAAATATTTCAGAATTTCTCATATTTAAAAATGGAAATAAGTCTGTGTTAATCTATACCTATTTGTTTGACAAATTTACGCTTTAACCTAAAAATTTAAAGTCGTAGGATGAGAAATATGGAGGGTTTCCATCTCGAAGTAGTAAGTTATATATTCCGTACTAAGCTCGCATGGAATTAACCGAAGAATATCTATTTATCTATATTAACCTTAACAGGCGACCTTCGTAATTACCGGAAACGCAAAATTTCAAGTTTGCATCCATTCTGATTAAATTCGGATTCCTCGAAATACGCCAATATATGATTTATTTGTGTATTTAAATTAAAGCAAAATTCATTCAGCTTTTTTAAATTAAAAAAAATTATTTAATTTTCCAGTTAACGGATGGATTGGAGAAATAGTAGAAGAGGAAGCCTCTGTATTTTCACTTTGGCCTAAAGGCATATTTCGGGAAGGTAAGACTTAACTGTTTTCTAATTTTCGCAATTAAGTGAATGACGTGTGTTTAAATCTAACGTAAATTGACGAAAATTAACGAGACACGAATCTCGATATTTTGCTATTACCGTTTTTGTGAATTCTGTAAATTGTGTATTATTTGACGTCACTCAAACCGATACGATTACGAAGAGACGAATTGATGTGAAATCTTTACTCGGGTGGACTGTTGGTTCTCCAGATTAAGAAGTTAACTGCATTCGGCTAACGTTTCAGTTTAAAGATGGTTTATTTTATAGAAAACGACCATTCTTTTTGAATTTAAGAACGGTTACTTTAACGCTAACGTCAACGTGGAGAATTATTTGTAACTTTTTCTTTTTCTCTGATTTTTTACATTCGCTATTACTTTTTACTATTTGTTACAAAATATAAAACGAATTTTGGTTTATTATACAATTGAAATTAGGACTGAGTAGGATAGGATTATCGTCATTTACTTATTGCAGCAATGAAAAAATTAGGGTACGATGCATAACTTTTTGAACAAGTTTCAGTATATAAAAGTAGTATTTTTATCGATAACAATTTCTGAAACGATTGAAATATTTCAAATTGAATAAATAATTGAAGTTTATAGAAAGGTTTAATAAATAAATGTAATGAGATTTGTAATATATTTATTCGTAATGATTATCAGAATTGACAACAGTCAATTGGACGTCGAGGACAAACTGTAAAAACTGAAAAGGAAAATAATACAACACTTCGAAACATACTTGAAATTTACGACGTCAACATTTCCTGATTTGTACCGAACTTCGTTGTATGTAAAATAAAAGATTGTTCACAATAGAATAATTCAGTTTTTGATCCATTAAAATATATCTCGACTCGGTATCTAGAAGTTTAGTTTTAAAGAAAATAAAATTTGAATTTGAAATTTTTGTAAATATTATACTGTTACTACGTGATATAGGCCTATATAATAAATAGTATATAGTTCATAAAATTTTAAAATTCAAACGTCATTTTTAATATACTTAAACTGTTTTTTTTTCGAGCCTCGATGGTGCATAAAACTAATAAAAGTGTAAATAACAAAATGAATTTATTACCAAAAGTTCGGTGCAAACATGGTTACTTTTCGACATAATCACCGTGAAGATTGAAAAATTTGTCATATCCGTGGACGAGGTTTTACCATCCTCTTGTCATAGAACGTTGCCGCCAAGAATTGAGATGAGCCCTAACGTCGTTTCGAAGATCGTCATTAGTCTCGAACCTCTGCCCTCCTAGCCACTTTTTCTGTTCGGGAAAGAGGTGGAAGTCGCTCGGCGCTAAATAGGGGCTATACGCTGGGTGTTTAAAGGTGGCGAAGACTCATCTTTCAGTCTTCCATCCAGCTTAAAACATTTTAATACGCGAAGACTTCCACCTTTTAACTGAACTGAAAACGTGGCTAGCAGGGAAGTAGTTTGAGACTAATGACGACCTTCAAAACAACGTTAGGGCCCATCTCGAGTTATTGGCGGCAACATTCTATGACAAGGGGATGCAAAACCTCAAAACCTCAAAACCTCGTCCACAGATATGACAAATTCCTCGATTTTCACGGTGATTATGTCGAAAAGTAACCATGTTTGTACCTAACTTTTGGTAATAAGTTTATTTTGTTATTTACACTTTCAGTTTTATGGACCATCTGAGCATGAAAAAACCGCCCTCGTAATTAAATTACAGCATGTAATATTATATACAATATAAGCTACATATGTGGATTTTACTTACAGGAACGAATAATATAGTATCTAGAACAAAGAAAGTTATCAAACACAGAGAAGACGTTTATTTAAGCCGTAAGATTTTATTTCTTTTGATTAATTAATGTAAATATTTTATTCAAAAATTTTCCTTATATTTGAAATAATATTAAAATGTTAATGCTTTGTACGGCGTATGTCAGTTATGAAGTTATACTTACTTTTATTTTACGTAAGGATAAGTATTAAGTATTAAAAATAGCTGCTTACGGTTGTTAAAATATGTTGTGAAAATAGCATTATACGAAATGTAAGGAAATAGTGTAGAATTTTTTCACATTTTATTACTTTCTTTTATATAGTGCAATTATATTTATAAAGAGGATTATGTCTTTATACGGCAGGAATTCTCATTATACCCACGATATCATTATTTTGAGTACTGCAGTTTATAAACTAGTAGGACCTATAGTATAAAATTTCGTATGGCTAAAACATGGTATTTTGTGAAGTCGCTCAATTAAGTTCAAAATTTCAACTGTTTCACAATTGGCGACGTTAGGTGCGCCAACAACACAATAAGTTCCAATAGTTCTTGTTTCCGGTACTTGTCCTTCGAGAAGACACTTTAGGACGACCGGCGAAGAGTTGTCTCGCTGTGGCGCTTTCTAGTGAGGCGTGCGCTAAAAACTCAAAATCTATCGGACGTGTTCCTCAACGAACTCTCCACGGCAGAGTTCGTTAACGGTTCAAATAAACCAATCATATCCCTTACATGACATCACCGTGACAAGCCTAAAAGGTAAATACAGTAATACCCCGAACTTACGCGATAGGTGGGACCGAGCGATAACCGCGTAAGTCGAATTCGCGTAAGTCGGGGTATAATTTCGCATATAAATACATACAAATAAGTTTTAATTGGGGCCGGAGACTAAAGAAAACAATAATTTAGAAAAAAATGTTTAATAAAATCTTAGATAATATGTATGTATGACAAATTATATTATTATACAATTTTTCACATTTACTCGATTATCACACCATAATTTTAACATTGTTTCCATCTCAGGGATAATACAGTAACGTTTACGAATGATGCCTGAATTTAAAGATTGAGCATTTTTTACAGCTATGAGAATTCTTTTTTTCGCGTTTTGTAATTGTTTTGACCGTCGATTCCGGTAGATCAAACTTCTTTGCAAATTTACAAATTTTCATTTTTGTATCCAAGTCTTTAATAATGTTAACTTTATATTTCAAAGATAAAGTTTTTCTTTTCTTGTTTGATGCAGAAGAATAAACGAATAAACGAATAATTAACGTGTTTGTTTGATGAAATAAATTTGTTTTACGAAATTATCACTTCTCGCGTCGTTTTTTGCGATAAAGGGAGATACTACACTACAAGAGTAGGGCATAAGTTTAAATAAAGATGTAGAGAATAATTTTCCAAATTTTAAAACATGATTAAGAAACAGATTTGGTGTTTCTGCGCTTTAATTTAAAATAAATGAAATCAATAAGCGCTATATCGACTTTTCTTTATTACTAGGCTTATTACACTCTCAATCAGTAGGAGACCAGCTTTAGAAATTTACGTTTTACTTCCAAGAGAATGTATTTCCGACGTTTAGTATCTCATCTGCTCTTCATGATGGAACTGTATTTAGTAAATAATGCATACGTGTTTACTTATGTTAACGGAAGAAAAAAACCTTTAAAAATTGTAATTTAACTTATATATTTATGAATGGTACAGTAGCGACGAGAATAGGTAAAAACTGAGTACAAATTATTGATTTCCCGGTATTCGCAATAATAATAGTATAATATTAACGATTTTAAAAATACAGTGTATATAACGTAGATGTAAAAATTGTAAACTTCCATGAATCATGTTGGTACTGTATATAAAGTAATATAAATAAAATAAGCACCGAAAGGCCAATAAAAGACGCTGTTAAAACCGTAACAGTTAAAATCTCAAGAAAGACGTTTTACCGTTAAAAGAATGAAACAAAAACCATTTTAATCGTTAAGTCACCAAGACTATAAATTTCTTTACAGTGGAACTATAATACGATGAAGTGATTCGTAGAAAACCAGAAAAACCATTTTTTATTTACACACTCGACCTCCCCCACGCTGCCTTTTAATCAGATTTGGGTTTCATGTTTCACGTAAGCTGAACAAATAAATTATTGTGAACTTTTAAAGACATTAGATACAGACGATTTTAGTAAAGAGTTATTTGCCATTTTTTTCCTAGTTTTTTTGTCGACGCTCTTTCTGGCTCAAATTTCCATTCAAATTTTTATAAAATAGGAATCTAAGTGTAGTGATTCAAATGACAAGATAAGCCACGTATTAATGAATATATTCGTATTGATTTACTGTACAACGTAAAATAAACTCATTTTTCTTATAGAACGCGTTTATATTTCATTAGCCTATTGCGGTTCGACACAAATAAAACGACATCATAATTATAAGTTGGTGGGTTTTAAAAAAATTTAGGATCGATTAAAGTATTTTGTTTCGATACGACAATTCAGTTCAGTTCTTCGCCGAGCGATACAGACAATTTTTTTAAATGAACTGTAGATCAATCTCTATAAAATGTTAAAAATATCAGTTTACGTCGTTGCCAAACCGCCGTATTTTGATTCGATAAGGAAAATTAATTAAGAATATGAATTTGTGAAGATAAAAGTCCAAATGCGATTTTTGGAATATACACAACGTATGGCATAACTATTTTAAGAAAGTTTTTACGATAAACCATTCGGACAGATTGCCCGGCAGCGCGTACCATCAAAAATATTATTTGAAATATACTGGTAATCGAGTAACATACTTTAGATAATCCGTTTGTACGTAATATTTAGTACGAATTATATTTATTTTTAAAATGTTTGTAAAAAAACTGTGATTAATGCTCGAAAGATAACAAAAAATGCTTTGAAAATTTGGTCTGTTTCGGTTTATTTTTATTTAATAGAAAATACGAATTTGTTTTGCGTGTATAATAAGAGATAATATATTTGTTGTAGAAAATTTTTATTCGAGTGGCGTATGCGCTACTTGGGGACAATTTAATTACAAGACGTTCGATGGCTACATCTACAGTTTTCACGGTCCTTGTACTTACGTTCTGGTGGAGGAATGCAAAAGCAGCTCGTTTAGTATTCATTTAAAGAACGATCCCCTATGTCTGACGGAAAGCGAATGCGTCAGGCTAATTTCTGTCATCATCGAAAACAAGAAGTTCGAAGTTACTAAGAACGAAGGAATTATGATGATCAGAAGAGAATACCAGAATCTGACAATTCCCGGCCGAGTAGATAGCTTACAGTTTTACCAATCCAACGAATTTCTTGTTTTGGAAAGCTCTTTTGGATTCAGGTAAGAAGCTTTTATCCACATTTTATCTTTTTTACTTCGTATCGGAAACTACCGGTAGATTACGTAATTTAATGGTAGTTTCCGATACAAAAACAGATTACTTTATACTGTTTAAATAAAATTAACCACGCTTACAAACAGGGAATAAAAAAACTTATATAAAAAATATCTTACTTAATGCCCTAAACGATTGTTGCGAAATATTGATAGTTAACCAGTTTCCGATCAGAAATTCCTCGAATACGACTAGTTTAATTTCAGAAAAAACAAAATATAAATTGAATACAATGTTTCTAATCATAAGAGGATTTATTACGGAAATTTGGTGGAAAATCGTATGTTTTTTGTAATCGTTGGAATTGTTTCTTTTGTTAAATTTCAGAGTTAAAAAGTTGAATCTATTTGGCGTATACTTTTGTTTTGTATTTTTTCTTCTCTGCTGTTTTCATTTGTTAATGCGACGGGTATTGGTGTTTACAAGTTTCACCGAAACACGTGGCACGAAATTTATTTACGATAAAACGCTAATTTATTTTTTATATTTATTTTCTATAATTTACTATTTTATTATATATTTATTTTATTATATATTCTCTAAAGTCATTTATAATACCGTACATTACGCAGATTTGTAACATTTAATACATACATTTTACCGTATTTTTGTTTATATACAAGTAGCGGTATGTGCGATAGAAATACATAAATTCTTTCTTTTAAGAAATCTTTAATCCTTATTCAAGATAGAAATTATCTAATATGAATTTCTGTCAATTAAGTTTAGTTATGTATTTCTTTTCCTACATATGTCTTTAACTGGATACGGTCCGAACAGGACTTTTGAAACGTAAGAAAAGCCGAAACGTGTAAAGTTTACGAATATTTTAATACACTGTTTTAAACGAAGCACTTTTCGAATCCTCAAGACTGAAGATCTTATCAATAACCGCCAATATTTTCATAGTGAGAAATACCTATTATTTCCAGCGTACACAATATACTTTATACATTGCTATATTTTATTTGATTTTCTACTTATTATACCAGGGGTGGCCAACCTGCGGCTCGCGAGCCGCATGCGGCTCTTTGAATGATTATTTGTGGCTCTCGATAAATGTACCCGAGTTCCCTTTTCATTTTTGTGTTATTATATTTAAAACATTATTATCGTTCCGTATGTGTTTCAAAATGTCTTTTAAATTACTAACAACAAATATGAAAGANGATAAATTTGTAATTTTTAAAACTGTATTAAATAACATAAGAATAAAAATAATATTTAATTTTAAATGTATAGAGGAGAAAGTGGTATTATGGAACCCCAATTACATTTTAGTGAATTGTAAACAAAGTATCATAAATACACCCACATTTTTTGTGCGAAAAGTACTGGTAACTATTAAACTAAATGTTCCTAATTGGATTTTTCGCTGGTGTAACTATAAGTATGGTTTTTGAAGACTTTTGTACAAAAAGTCAGAAAGTAAGCTTAGAGAAAATCGGGTGGTAATATGGAACCTTACTGTATATTTTCAATAAAAGGCTTTAATGTAGCCAAAAAACAAATAGGAAAGGACAAAAAATGTTAAATAATTACCAAATTATTTACTTCAATGTATTTTATCGCAAAAATGCTTTTATAACAGAGCAATATGACCTCCATCAACAATATATATTCCGGCAGCTCTTTTTCGATATTCTCGGGAAGAATTGGCTTTGTACCTAGTGTCTTTTCACATATTGCTCTGGAGGAATGTCTTCTTGCAAATAGAAGGTTCGGAGGAGTCGAGTTCCATATTACTGTAAAAGCGCCAATGGGATCCGTATTTCTTGCATCGCCATCTCGAATTAACTTATGTCTGTCGAGACCAAAATTCAAAAAATGGGAACATCGCACAGATTAATATGTACCTCTAAGCCTCTGGAACGGAATACGTGCACCAGTGAACCTACAACTACGCGATTTATATTTTTAAAATAATTAAATTCACTTAGCATTCAAAACTTGGGAATTTTGAAATAAACAAATTTGCTGATTAAATGCGGACAGCCGTTTAACTGAAGTAAAACGAGTTTTCCCCTCGCTATGGATGTCTGCCTAGTTCAGTTCAGTCACATTCCGCTACAGTTCGCCTTTATTATCAGTTCGAAATGGGATGGTTCCAAAATACCAGCAGTGTTCCATAATACCACCTTCTTTTCTATTACAAAATAGGATTTCAGCAAGCAAAGACAATTCAGTGTTTTATCTGCTAAAAGTGTACGAAGTCTATTATACAAAACCTATAAAAAGGAACCGGCAGTCGAGTAAGCTCGTTTATAATGAATACAACTTGACCGGATATATAACAGCAAGCGTCTTTACCAAAATTATGCCACTATGACCAGTTCAATCGTAGATGTTCGTCTTTACTGACATCCTAAACCAAATTCTTTTTTCCGTTGGTTGTTTTTGTCGTTATTCTTTCGATTTTGCGTAAAAATTCACTCCTTCCATCACTTTTTAACGGTCTCTTTCCAAGTTGATTGAGTGACGATGTCGTTGAAAATTCGTGCGAATCGATTTTGCCGACAGAATCGTTGCACTTGCACGAGCGAGCCACTATAATATTTCGGTACTCAAGACTTTTCTTTTGAGTAAGAAGTATAAAATACTTTGGGTTGCCAACTAACTTCTTGTTTTCCAGATATAATTGAAAGCTATACAATAGAAAAAATATTCTTGAATTTTCTTAGGATATGATCCTTTAAATAGTGTAAACAATGACGACTACATTTCCCTTAGAACGACTAGTGCAATTTCAATGGACATACGAGATTCCAAACGAGCGTTCTCTTTGGCACGTCGCTTTGATAAATAACTCGAATGGGTGCAGAGCATCCGCAATTGCTTGCAATTGTTCATATTCTTCAACGCTAACTTGGAGTGGCTCTTTCGTAATGGGAACCAGTGAAATCAATGCGGGTTAATGAAGTTCCGAAGCTAAATAAAGCGTTCACATGTGGTAATAATTGAATTCCAGGGAGTTGGAATGTCTAGCAAGAGTTTGAAGAAGCAATTAAACTCTAGCTGACTAATTTAAAAACAATAAAAACTAAAACCTGAAAAATTGTTGATTTGTTTTACTTCTCGACTGCCTTTTATCACGGACAAAGAACAAAAAACACTCAGAGCAGAAAAATATTCTTTAGTTTTGAAAGCAAGCTATGCATTTCGGATGATTTTACAAAAAAGTTCTTTTACACCCTCTGTTCTAGCTGTAAACGTAAAAATATACGATNATAAACAGTGGCGAAATCGTCCATTATCGACCGACTCCAGACCAATTTTGAATTTGTAAACTGTCATTGCAACGGACAGCTGACATTGTGCTCTGGAAGAAACAATTTGTATCACTCTTGCTACGGATATAATTCTAGAATTTTTTGCATACCTTTTTAATACGTATTTAATTGCGGCTCGCGAAAAATTTCAAATTTTGAAAAATGGCTCGGACTATAAAGAAGCTTGGCCACCCCTGTATTATACAATTGTTAATGTATATACCAGAGTACGGTGACTGGTGACATTCGGCGACTCGCGTTCGTTAACAGAATTGTAAACATCCATAAATTCCGGCAGAAGTTTATTAATAACTTATCAAAAGCTACTATCGGACGACATTATTCTGAATATCGAAACCATTGTCAGAACGGAGGCTTTATGCCAGTGTCTTTACCGTAAGAAATTAATCGATCTGCCTAATGAAGCTATTAACGAAAAAACGATTTTTGACAAAACAGTAAGTTTATCGTTAGCGAAATACTATCGAAACTTTAGATTACTTGTTGAAATATCTTAAGTTTTGAATAAACATTTTTCTAGTATTTGTAAGTTGTAAATTCTTCAATAATACACGTTTAGAGTAAGGGTTGTAAATGACACCCTCTGTGCCCTCTCCATTACAGACCGCTTTTCATTTGTCTCCATGGTCAAAAATAAGAAGTTAGGCTGCATTGATATCTAAACATCAATTAAAATTTGTATGTTTTTATTAATAACTACTTACTCGAAAGTCTTCGTGTGATAAACCATATAATAATAAAAGGAGACTACGTATTAGAAACGTTATTTTAAATTTTATTTTTGTCTTTAATAAGTTATTTTTACATGTGCGTCTTTAGAAAATCTATTTGAAATTCGTAATTTAATGACTCAATATACGTAGTCGTATTCCCATGCTTGGGAAAGTTATGGGTTCGATAGGTGATCGATTAAATGCCCCAATATTTTGTTATTTCGTACCACAACTCTCTAGGAGTACAGTAATAAAATAACAAGTATAATATTTAGTTTAGTGCAACATAAATGTCGGCCGAATGGCCGAGGCAATTAAGGCGTAAAAATACAACTAGGAGCGGTCGAAAAATTCCGCAGAAGTTTTCAGGGGTGGTGTATCTCGGACGCCTAGAACTCCGTCCCCCGCCGTCGGCCCCCATTGTGGGCCCGGAAATACTGGCCATCTTAGTAATCACAGCGCGAAAAGTGCCCGAAAGAAGGCAGCGAAACTATTCAGAAGTAATATGGATATATATAGATAATAGATATATAGATGAAAAATGGCATTCTCGTGTCTAATCGTTGATACAAAGGTTTTACAGATTTTCTGTAAATATTTAGTATAAATAAATGGAATTCTAGTGCTACTTTCTTTTACTATGTAATAAAAATTAAAATTTGCAATTTTTTTAATTAACATTCTGAAAATTTTGTGACTTCTATGTTTTTCAGTAACAGATAAGAAAAGGAAATGTGTCAGCGTTTAGACAAACGACACCATCGACGATGTAAAGTCACTAATTTTCCGAAATTCTATTCATTAAAAACACCTTTTAATAATATTTTATAACGAAATGCATTGTACTTATTTACGAAACTTGCAGCAAAATTTCAAAATACAATCGTTAAATACAAACGAGATGTCGAAAAATAAGTAAATATTCACTCTATATTAATAAGGTTGTTTTAGAAGATAAATTTATTGATACTTTAGTAACGTTTTCAGCCTATTCCTACAGGGCGTGTAGGACTAGGCTAAAAACGTTAGTAATTAAACAATTTCCTCTCGGCAAATGCGTAGGAAAAAGTAAACTTGTAATTTATTCTCTGCTGCGCCCGTTCGAACTGTTAACTTAAATGCAACTATAACGTTTTTTGCTTTCGGAAAATACTTCACAAATTTATTTTTAATTTTCGGCACTCTTTAGTTAACGGGATCCCAGTCATTTTTACTACTATTTTTAACAAAATCATTATTTTATTTTATAATACATACATTCTTAAATCAATAAAGAAAACTGAAACGGGTGATCAGGAAATGATCGCTGTATTAGACTGGAAACAAACTTTCGGATGTCGTTTAGTATGGCAGTAAGCGTTTCGCATTTCTAGTGTAGTCTACGCCACACAAATTCTATAAGATATGAATGAAAATAATGACGCGAAGTTTTTCCATGAACCGTTTTCCTCCATTTGGCACTTCCCCGACTTCTTTCTACGTTTTGCCTGTGAAATCCTGTGGCTAAATCTACAAAGTTATATTTGTGATTCATTTGCAAATGGTCATAGCCGGCATTTTGTAACTCTTCATTTTTGTATCCTCTCCAGCAATCGGACCATATAATACTTCCTTCTTTAATGTTATTTTCTATTGCATTTATCAAAGTTTTCGCACAACGATCTCTCACGGCGAATAAAAAACATTGTTTTGTCTGTCGGCATATTCTTCCAAATACCCTTGCACGTGGTCGCTTGTTTTCAGTGCATCGCTTTCACTTGTGTTTTTTTAATAAGTGTGACTCTAGCTTAAGCGTTTTTTCCATGCTCGATACGTCAGCAAAGAAGATGGCAGCCACCACCAGGTTGGTTAGAGCTCTATTTTGCGTTAACAATTTTGAATTTAATTTAGTTGTTGACGAATACACAGTGAATAAATTAAAATTTGGTTAGTTCATTAATAGATTATTTTAATATTCTAGTATATCAACGTAAGACAACACATAATTTGTTTTAGATGTTTGTGTGGTCCGGATATTGTATTTCCTACGTGCAAAAAAGTCTTTCGTCTACCTCGATAACTTTGTTAGCACCACCGATTTTAACATTTGGCCGAGAAAGCAGAATTTTCACATATCTCACGCGTGTAACTACTCCAGTCTATTGTAGTTTTAGGATTAGTTACTAATTGCAGTTGGCAAAAACTTCCAGACGTTAATTCTAAACACCAAAAATATATAAAACGAACTGCAGTCAAAAAATAAACACGTGAACCTTCTAACCAAGTTTTACTTCTCAAACCTTTTTTACGTGGCAAGGCCGGATATTACATCTCCATTTAGGTGTCTCGGAGAAACAAAAATGCAACCTCATTTTATGATTTCTCGAACACAATTGCTTACTGTGTAAAATTCCCTTCTCTTGGAAAAATCGAATTGCGCTTTTTTCATCTTTTGGCAATTGCCAAATTGTAAAATCCATTTTAACTCGAAACAGTAGAACCACGTAGAAAGAATCAACACTGCAAACTCTGAAAACAACACGAAACTAATCACTTATTCCGAACCGATTACGGTGCGCACATAAACAAAAACAAACGTTTTCGAACTCCACCCCAGTTTTCTCATCAGGCCTTGTAACGATTACTCGGTGGACCTTTCTAAAAAGTTTTGAAATAAAAATTCGAACAACCGTTCGAGTATAAGCTAGAAAAATTAAAAACCACGTCGCCTCTATCATTCACTCGCCCTACCGGGACTCAACGAATGGTTAAACCGTGTTGTCAATCAACTCTTCCAGGCCATTAACAAAACCATTTCCTCTTTATAATTTTGCGCATTGATATAAAATTAGATTTAAATATCTGCACGGCCTCCAACCATCTGAGGTGTTCTTCGTGGGCGAAGCGGGGATGAGTTTGGCCCGGTTAAAGTCTTTTAAGCTGTCCGGATCTGCTGTGTATGCAGAGAGGGTCGTGGTTGTTCTCGCATGTCGTATATCGGTCAGACGCTGTAGTAACTTGATTCTAATGGAGCGCTTAGATGATCGAATGTATACCGGCTCTATATCCCTTACGGAAACACTATACGCCAAGGAGTCTGTTCGAATTGGGAAAGTCCTTCCCATTAAGAAACATATCGAAACTATCAATTTTATTAAAAATAATAGTAAAAATGATCGGTGTCCCGTTAACCAAAGAGTACTCAATTTTCACTTAAATTGTTTCTATAGAATTTTATGGAACGTCATCCGTATTTATGGCGAACCGCACATAAAATTAAAAATAATATTTTAACTAACTTTTATACATTTTGTTATATTCAGATTACGTTGGGATGGAAAGGAAACCGTTTTAGTCACCGTGGAATCTTTCTTGAGGAATAAAACATGCGGTTTGTGTGGTCAGTTTATCGGTCGTTCCGGTAGATATATGTTAAAAGCCAACGGGGAAGTTGATAACGACGTGGTCGAATTTGCCAACAGTTGGAAGGTTATGTACGACGAAAATGGTAAGTTTCCTCTCGTAAGGATGCTTTTATTAACTTGTCTGTTTAGGAAACAACCGCTTATATTCAGAATTATTAATTAATACTTAAGAGGCCTTTGAAAATATTACGGATAAAATTATTCGAATTTTTTTGGCTACGGATTCGGCAAATTATTAATATTTGAATTTTATCTCCATGTCTTATAACTTGCTGTTATTGGCGACTTCCCCCGCGGTGGTTTTGCAAGCAAACTCCATTTATATTTAGTATTTCAACAACCATAGTAAATGTTATATAACACCTACCGCCGAGAATGATGAGAATTGCCGAGAATCAAACGAACTTGTTTTCAATTCGATCAATTTTCTGGAGCGTTTAGAATTATTCTATAATCCAACCAATACGCAATAAGAAATTCGAATTTAAAACGGTTCGAACATTTGGTTAAAAAGTCGAAATATATGAAAATATTTATAACAATGTCCGAAATGTTATCAATTTAATACCCCTAAGTACTCAATGAAGACTAAACTCAGATAAAAATAAAAAATTGTATCTAAAATAGTACAGTAGAAGCCGTTCTTCCGGTTAAGCCTTAATCCTCTCCCTCTTCCCCCCCCCGCGGGGGAATTTCGAAAAATCCCTTTTTAGTGCGCGTTTTCATGACGTACCCTAACTGTGTATCAAATTTCACCTCTTTAGGTTCAGCGGTTTGCTCTGGGCGACGATGAATTATTCAGTCAGTCAGTCAGGACAAGTAATTTTATATATTTAGATATAATCGAGATGAGTTAATAATAATAATAATAATAATAACCGCATAGCCCAAACAATAAAGAGTTGAATGTTTAAATCTGGTGCACAGTTAGGGTGCGTCATGAGAATGTAAACTAAAAAGAGATTTTTCGAAATCTTCTCGTGGGAAGAGGGAAGAAATTAATGAAAAGTTGCAATATAAAAGAAAATTTTAGGCAATTCCATCAATAAAGACGCTGTAAAAACTTCAACGGGGTTTTTGACACGTATAATTATAGCTATATTTCTGCTTCTGAGTTAAAATATTTATGAAATTTTTGTATATATATATATCGTTATAAAGAGTGTTTGAGTCGGCATCTTTAATAAAAATAGAAATAATTGTAAAAAAGTATTTTGAAATTATCACATTCGATTACTTATTGCGATTGATTTTGATTACATTTCATCATTTCAGAGAAATGCAACTCACTTCAAGTTGGACAACACGTATGTAAGTACACGACGGATACAGATCGAATACTTTTTAAGGAATCTCGAGACACTTGCAAAAAGATTTTTAATCACCAAATTTTTTCTACTTGCCAGAAGGTAAAGAACGTTTACATTCGATATTGTTAAATTTTAATATGTATCTTTATATATAGACATACAAACAGTACATAATTATGTCAATATCATCGTGTGATTTGTAAGGACTTTACCATACTTCTATATTTTCTTCTCCCGAAAAAAGTTCTGCATTGTACTGTTTCTATAAACCAACGATCTTACGCAGTTGTAAAATTGAGATTTCTCCTATATTTTAAATATGACTTAACAGAGAATTTAGATTATTAAAAATACATAAATTAACGTTTATAAGGCAGGACGAAGAAATTATATATATAATATATACAAAATGTGTGTTTTTTTTTATGTTTTAACTCTGCTTAGTGGACATTAAGAGAAACTTTTATTCATAACCATGGTGGATTAGGCCGAGGGTGAGAGACGGGGCTCGACTTATTCGTGACTTAACACCTACGACAAATTCGGGTGGCTGTGGGGAGCCGGATCGAATCCAGTTGAGAAACTCTCGAGTAGTTAGGTAGGCTGACAGCGGTGGCGTATCTAGAGGGGGCGGCGAGGGTGGTCCGCGTCGGATGTCACTCGTTTAGGGCTGACACCCGACCGTGAAAAAATGAAAACTTAAACAAACCATCACAATGTTTTTCAACGATAAATCACTTAGGCTGGAAGCCATTTTAAATACTATAATTTAATTTTACAGAATCTCTTCCGAATCTTATGGTCGCACTAAAGTTATTTCTGACAATTTGCGTATCAATTGCTTCGTGTGAGAGGAGTTTCGGCAAACAAAAATTAATTAAAAATTACTCGCGGGCAACAATGACCCAAATGAGACTTAACAATCTTGACATATTATTTAACAATAGAACACGAGTCGACACAAAATATAAATTTTTTAAGATGTGATTTCTGAGTTTGCAGCTGTTAAAGCTAGAAAGAAGAGCTTTTAAGTGTTTGTACATAATATAGTACTACTGTCATCCTTCTTCCGCCATACCCAACTTTCACATTCATACATCAATGCGAAAGAATGTATAAAAAAACTGTCCTATTATTATCATAATATTGTAACTTGATAATTAATGAGTATTATTTGTATTAATTAAATAAAATCATACTTTACGTTTATCGGATTTTTATTAGTTTTAGCAGTTTTTATTCTTGAGGTGAACCGCGATATCCGCACCGGTCGCCACTCACGCTAGCTACGCCACTGGCTGACAGCGATAGATTCGTGCATTCATCGTTTCGGCCGTCCGGTTAACAACTTCAATGTTGCTATTATAAAAGAAATTTTGTTGTTTTGTGATAACGGTAAACTGCGGCAAGAATGTTACGCACTTCGGTGAGAGTTAGCTTAGAAGCTGTAAAGTATGTAAAAACGAGACCTTTTGAAAGCTTCGCACGAAGCAGCCTTTTTCTAAAGCTGTCCTGCGTGCAGAGAGTAAACTTGTTTTACGCAAAAATAGGCGGATGACAAATGGTTAGATCGGACTTAGTGTCTTAAGCCAACAGCTTGCGCTTCACCTTCTTGTGTCACGGATTTCGAAAATGGAACTCACTAATTAATGCTAGTCAATGCGTTGAATGTTATTTGCCCATTTTTATCTTTAAAGTACTTTATGCAGTGTAAGATATTCATTCGTTTTTTCTACAGAAATGCTAAGAGTACTTTTTACCGGTATAATTATTTCTGTATGTAATAATGTTCACAAATTCTAGAGTTAAATTCGAGCGCACGAAATCTTCCGATTTCATTGTTAGGCAATATGTAGGAAAATATAATATAATTCATATTCTATTTGTATTATTAAATATCGTTATATTAAAACTAAGCTTTGATATAACGATATATAATAATACATTCTGCAGTGTTTTTTTATATTTAGTTATGAATTATTTTAAAAAATAATCATGCTAATCTTGTTAATTGAGAGAAACCCGTGTCAAATGCTACGAAAGCAACATTCTTAAATGGTAATATTAGTAGAAAAAATTAGGAAAATGAAAGTATTCCTTGTAAAATATGACGCTTTCTATTTATATTGTCTGAAATATTTGAATTCGAAATTTTTCAACTTAAGTAAATTTGTAACAATGCTTATTATTTAGTTCGTACAGCTTCTTTATATTTTTGTTAACAATTGAATTAAATGAAATGATTTAATTACTGTACAGTTGGTACCCGTCGAACTGTTTGAAAGAGCCTGCCGATTAGAATTCTGCGCCTGCAAAATCGAGAACGAGAAATGCATATGCAGTACTCTGGCTGAATATCTAAGAGAATGCGTACGTCACGGAGGACAAGTATCCGGAGATTGGAGATCGATTACAAATTGCAGTAAGTCTCGTATTAGTACATTTTATTCCTATAAATGCATTTTCTTAATCCATTAATAAATTCAATTGTAGTAGCGCCGCCAAAGAATACTTAGAGTATATTTTCAATAGTTAATTTCGATCAAAGTAAGTAAAAAGGAATAATTTACCGAGTAGATCGAATTATGTAGCCAACATTTCTTCCTGCTTTATAACAGGCTTAAAGGCGTGCATGTTTTGTGGTCCATTGAAACGGATTTGATTTCACGATGATAAAATTCTACTCCTTGTCACGCACTCCGACTGTACAGTACGGAGTAGTGGTGCGTGGCGAATACCCTACTATAAACTATCTACATTTTCACGCAATTGTACTTATTTAATAAGTAGTAAAAATAACATACAGCTAATTCGATGTTTTTTCTACACCCTTTTTACTGGATCTAGTATTCGAGACACTATAATAAATTCGTAAACTTTTTTACGATTGAATGAATAAGACTATATGATGCGGGTGTAAGCAGCCAGCTTGGCTCGAGAACTGTAAAGGTGTTAAAATTGGATAAAGTTTGGCGATCGGTAGATAGTAGCGTGTAATGTATACAATATGTAAAGATACGTCCTTCCATAAATGTTATCGAATGGATACAATTCACAGTGATAATCAGTAAAAATAAACGTTTACAACAGTATTAAACTTACAATTGGATGGAAGGTTTTTCAACAGCGAAAGATTTTTATATTTGACGTTTATGTTTCGTAAGGAAGAAATAATCCTGACAATGATCTTGTTCCGTCCGAATTCCTTCTTTCTTAATGAAGGAAAACGTCAAATAACATAATTTCTTAGAAATTAAAAGTAAACGAAACGACCGAGAATTTCTTTTTTTCTGGAGAAATTAAAAAATTTCGAATAGCAGTTTTAGTCAAATTCCAAAATTCGAACTTTCCGAATACAAAAGTAATTTTAAACTTAAAACCATTTAACAGAACATTAAATAACGGTAGTGGTTTTGAAAACGAAGCTTTTGAAAAGGATTTATAGTAATTATTAAATAACATTAACTGGAATGCCTTGTCAATGTGTGGGAAAGTGGCTCAAGGAAAAAAAAACGAAAAATACGCGAATAAATTAGTAAAGATATTCCAAAAGCAACCAGTTAAATCTAAAAGAATGCGAATTGCGCTTTATTTCGGATGGACCAATATTATCTTTCGTCTTAAGGTTTAACAATCGGTATCGTTTGGCTCTATCTTTCTTCCTCGTATCGAAGCCAAAATATCTACTATTTTTTCGGAAGCATAAAAGGAAGTCCAAGGATCGCACACAATTAGGATGATTATTTCAGATGGACTTACCATCATAAATAAAAACAGAAATAAAAAGAAACTATGACTTTTAATCGGAATAGCAATTGTACTAAAACATGGAAGGCGCGATATACAGGGCGATTCAAAAGTGACAGAAAGTTTAAAAAATTAACAACTCGCATACTGTTTACGGTAATGTGATGCGATTTTCACAGAAATGATTAAAAAGAAGCGGGATTTTTTTATGTGTAATAAAAATTTTGGTACCAAAATAATTACATTTCTTGCCACAGATGGCGCTGTAGGAAACTGAAAGCATTTATAATTTGTTAAAATAAGAATACAGCAATAAAATAAAAGTATTCTTAGTGTAAGCTCTAGTAACAATTACAGAAATTATGTAATCTTATCAAGCGCCGTCTATGGCAAGACGTGTAACTGCTTTGGTACCAAAATTTTTATTACATATAAAAAATTTCCTTTTTTCTAAGCATTTGTGTGAAAACCGCCTCGCCTTACTGTAAAACAGTATGTGAGTTATTAATTTTTTAAACTTTCTGTCACTTTTGAATCGCCCTGTAATTGCGTATTCACAAAGACAAACAAAAACAGTCAAACAGTAATTATTCGAAGACACCCATATTATGTTAGTCACCTACGTAACAATAGGAATGTGAAGAAATGCATGAAAGCATTTTAAAAATCACATCTCTATTCATTTAAAACGATTGAAATCGTCGTATGTGAGACTTTATCGGTTCTTACGAACACAAATAATCCCGAGCAATCATTTCCATTTCTTTGCAAACACGTAAGGAAGGAAAGCGATTGAGACGAGTTGTTAAAAAAATGTCAGGCACATACAGTTGATTTGAGAGACTGAAAAATATATTAATTGAAAGTATCAAACTATAGTTTTTCAGTCATCAATTCAATTACTAATAGAGAACATAGTTAATATCGACATTTTGGAAGAGGAAACAGTTCCTACTCCTGACTGTGTAAAACTATTCCCGTCTGCTAAACTACTTCCATTAAACTTGATCTTTACTTCCTAGCCTTAAAGCAATTTTTCTGCAGTTTCTTCCAAACGCCATAAGCTTTATTAATATAAAAAGAAAGAGAAAATCTTGTTTGATATCCTTTACACTTCTCGTTAAAAGGAAGATTTATAGACGAAGTAACGATGATAGTTCTTTAGCCGGAATCGTTCTCCAGCGATTCTCTAATTCGGTCAAACTCCCAGGCTGTCCAACAACTCGGTGCCCCGGAAGATTCTGAACAGGTTCGATGGGTGACAAATTGGGGACTGGGAAAGTGTGACGATGTGGCGGAGGCATTTTTCAATAAGACAATGTGTAAGTTCGGCGACCTGATGGAGATTGGGGACATAAAATCCCACTTCTCGGACACCGCTGCGAGTTCGCTGATTAGGGGGAAGCTTTTATTTCCTACCGTCGGGATGGATTGACGCCTATTCGTGTGTGGGTGGTTGTTTTCAGGAGGGAGGAAAGACAAGTGTTTCACGAAGAAACCATTTATTTTTGACGAATATGCTAACATAAAATTATCAAGATCCTGGGATTCAGAGCTTTATGGGCTATCTTCAGAAATACCTTTCTTTTCGTTCCGGTCAAACGCCGACGGGACTCTGTGGCGGCGTCACTTTAATGTTCGCAATTGGAAGAAACAGTACAAAAAAAGATGAAGGGACGTACGATGAGCGAAGAGTGAACGAACACCACAGGTAGACTAGAGGAGGCCACCTTCTGTCCTTGACGTCGGAGTTTTTATGTTTTTCCTGACCAAATAGTCATTAATTGGACGGACTTTTCTTCCGCGCTTTCTAATTGGTCTCCCACCTGTCTCCGGGTGTAAATGGAGCTCCGTGTCGGTCGCGCGAAAGGTTGGCTAGAGCTGATCTATTCGACACCTTCTTTTAGACTCTGATCACGTTTAATTGATAACTATGACATCCACGCTCATCCTGATATTTTTCTAGTTTCGTTTTTCTTTCTAAACTGTGTTTTAAGTTTAAATTTTCTTTTTAAATTTTCTTTAATTGAAATTTTGCTTTTCCCGCGATTCTTTATGAGCGTCGCTGTCAATGTCTGGTGTCGCCTATTCCACATTCTTACAACTTGTTTTCTTTACTGTCGATCTTAGATTTTACCTTTTTTCCCTCTTTGTTAACGCTATTTCCGGGCATCACAAATACTTTCCGAATTTAGCGGAAGCATTGTCCCTAAGCGAATTTATCGAAAGCCATGCCGGAAGAGACAACAGGCACGGCTGCAGATTGCCGGTAACACCACCGTGCCGTTCTGGTCTGATCACTACCAGAAAGGACTGGCTGCCGTACGTGATGACACCTCGGACCAACATATGGTCGGTGTGCCGCTTGAAAGCATAATCAGGATAGAGGCGTTTACAACGGGACCTCCAGAGACCAACACGGCCGTGGTCGGTGCCTAAACCGAATCTGGATTCATCGCCGTAGACGACTCGATTTCATTTTGTTGCAGTCCGATCCTGTCGAAAGATCACTGCAAACGGAGGCGTGGTATGAATGGCGTCACACGTAATGGCCAATGCGATGCCTAATGTTCCTCAACCGACGCCTGGAAATGGTAAGAACAGACACAGAGACCCGTGACTATAGCTCTAACCGTGTCCAGAGTCCGGATAACGATAGAGTAAGTCGTTTGTCTGCTTGTCGACCGGGAGGTCCTGTCGGCTAGTGGTTTGCCGAAGACGTTCCGCACTGTGTGAGGACGGTCTAGGTCAGGCATGGCAAATATACGGCCCACCTAATGAATTTATGTGGCTCACGATTAACTTTCAATATTAGCTACTCAAGTTTGAACAGCTCGACGAAGAATTCTGATGCGTGAAAAAAGTCAACAACTCACTGCGTGTTTACAGTTAACCCTCCATTACAAATCTCTTAAATTCAGCGTAGAATGTTGATAAAGCATGATAATGTGAAAAATGTACAGTCGACCCCCCTATAAGATCATAGATACGTTCCATTCTTTAGGAATCCGATTTCTTACGAGTCGTTCCAATCACAGCCCGACACGTGTGAAGTTTACGGACTACGGCTGATTGAAAGGTTTTCTTCCATAAAATTAATCGATTCTAGACTAATTCGACTTAACATTTTCAAAATACGTATATTTTTTGGGAATAATCCGTATAAACTACGCTATAAACAAAAAATTGTAGGATTACTTACCGAGTGTGTACCATTCGATATCGCCATTGCCCAAGCTTGTTTTCGTCGCGGAACAGCTCAGAAAACCGTAACCGATTTCTAATAACTTATTTTTCTGCGAAAAATTCTCTGAACTTTGGAGACATCATTAATATAAATATTTTTAATCGCCGTTGAATAAGAAATGTTTCTTTCACAAGAAATGTTTAAAATTACAGTACTGTATTAGACTTACGGTACCTAATTTACATACTGTACAGACGATAGTTAGCGTAAAATCTCCGTAGAGTGGCGCTACGCGGCGGAAAAAAATATATAATTATAATAAAGTTACAATAAATTAAGTTAATATATAATTATATACATAGTACCTAATTTATATATAATTAATATATAATTATATGTACAGACGAAACTAAACTTAATTTACCCGCCTAAATGTCCGTAGCGTGGCGCTACGGACGGCGGAAAAGTAGTTCGGCTGCCCGATGACG